CATCAGTGTTGGTGAAATTCTGTTGAAAAATAAAGGGACAGTGCATGTATACAAATAAACAGTTTTTCAAATTTTTGTCACCTTTATTAATTAATTAATTTGTTTTTTAATTTTTTTTTTTTAACACAATTTATGACTTACTTGTTGACTTACCCTCGCATCTCCTTCGACAACAGAAACTTAAAACGTGAAGTCTTCTTCAGCGGTATATGGTCACGCACTTATCCACGAATGGTCATAGACTGGGATGTCATCTCAGGGACTTTTAGATTTCCCCCAAATTTACTTGACGTGCCACATGTTGTTTCGCTGCTCCTCCAGGGGAAGACAGTCTCGCAAGACATGTTCTTGAGTCTGTTTTGCACGCAGACTTTGGCAAACAGCTGTTTGGCTCAAACCTAATTTAAATGAGTGTGTTTGAGTAAGTAAAGAAAACAAGAAAAAAAAAAAGCAATAGTGACCACATCATCACTGAAGTACAGATTAGTCGATCAAATTATGAGGCTAGTTACATATGGTGCATACCCCTAAAAGAGTGAAATATGATCTTTGATTATTTTATTACAGGATGTCAGACACGCTGTTGCAGGGCGCAGCTGACCACGAAGGACAAACTGAAAGCCTAGTCCAAGAAAGTTCTCCGTCAAAGACAGAAGATCAAGTAACAAGCGGACAAGGTTTCGGTCTGTTCAAATGTCTTGGGGACACGGAACACAGAAATAAATTAGTACAGTCTTGGTTGATCGTTTGGGCTTTCTTCAGTTTGGTAAGTGTGTGAACTGTTTGCTGAGTCGCACAGGCAGCTGGGGAGTCGCGGTAGAGCAATGGCTAGGCGTTGCCTGGAATTGAAATCCACGTCGAATCAGATTCTCCACACTCCCCCGCCCCCTTTCCGCTCCCTCCCCTTAAAAAAAATAAACCTCACCTTGGCTCCCAGACCGACGTAGCTAAAACGGGTAACAGGTACTTTACTGGGAAGTATAGGCTTCCGGCGTGATGTTGACCACATCGTCGTCCCCCTGATTGCCAACTGATCTATGAGAATTTGTGTCTAGCATCATATGCCCGTAAAGGCGGCTCTTTAATTTCTTTACTCACAGGCAGCTAGATTATAAAGACATTTGTTAACGCGGTAGCTAAGACCAGTGCATCGTGTGTGTGCTCAACAATGTGCACATACTTAGGTAATAAGAGATTTTGACAACAATTAAACAATTGTATTTATATTCCCCCCCCCCCCCAGCACCCCTCCCCTTTTTTTCTCTCTATTTTTTCCATTTGCCTTTTTATGTTTTTTTCTTCTTCTTTATAGAACTACGGGTTTCAGATTAGTCAAAATAAGTTATAGTAGTAGCTAAAGCAAGTCAGTGTGTTCAAGTATTTTGACAACCTAATAACGGCAGATATTATACATATTTTTTAATTAATATGTTAAATATAGCTAGCCCAAGCAAAAGCGGAATTTCCAAGTATGAGAATGATCAGATTCAATTTACGCACCTATCTCGTATCTATGACAGATGAACTGAGAAGGAGCCAACAATTTCTTGGTTAAATTCGGATAGAACAAAAAGCAATAGCTCTCATAAACACTGCAAAATATGTAATTATGTATGTAAGTTATAACGTGCGCCATCTTGTATCCCATTTGATTATTTATCAAGACGTCTCTGACCACTGGTCGTATTCAAAATCAAGAGAGAGACAAACAGACAGACAGACAGACAGACAGACAGACAGACAGACAGACAGACAGACAGACAGACAGACAGACAGACAGACAGACAGACAGACAGACAGACAGACAGACAGACAGACAGACAGACAGACAGACAGACAGACAGACAGACAGACAGACAGACAGACAGAGAAAGATAAGAGGGGAGGAAGGGAGGGAGGGAAACGGAAAGGAAGAAGGTGTGTACATAAATATATATGTGTGTGTGTGTGTGTGTATGTATGTGTGTGTAAAATGGAATTAGGTACTTATCCTAAACAGCATAATATGTATTTGTTTCATTAAGACTGCATGCTTCATCGACTTAGAATTCAAGTGCAACAAAACATAACAATACAAATAATTGATAACAGCTATTCTCTATTAGGGTTTGACAGCTGGTTTAAACGGCTCCACTCTACTAGATCTACAGATTATAACTGGAACAGACCTGGAAAGTGCTTCGGCTTTCTTCACGGGGTTCACCAGTGGCTACATGGCTGGTTCTCTGTTTTCTGGGGTAGTTTTCAATAAGGTAAAATGATAACTACCCGCACTAGACTACCTGTTGCTTTGCAATCATCGGTAATTCTAATAAAACTATGGTTGAGTTGAGTTGAGTCAAGAATTGGCATCACAGCATTCAGGGCATTGCCATTCATGCTTCGTCCTCATTTTCAGCAGCCAGCGCAGAGTTCCAGTACTGATGGTACGGGTCACATTCTAGTTATATGTCCGTCTTGCCTTTCCTCTGAGTGTAGTCAGCCGGCCAGACCCTCTGGCTAGATCCAGATGCCTCATTCTCTCCAGGCCATAATACTCTTCTATCTCTACAGATTCCGTTGCTGGTTCCCAAAGAGCCTTGACTACATCTGTCTTGTCATGTGTCAGTTCAACACCTAATGGTGTAGATCCAGCCAATCTGTCCTCCTGTTCATTAGCCACCACGCCGGCATAGCCTGGAGAAAAGATCTAAAGTATGCTCACTACCCGTGATTTTACCACTCTTTCTTTAAAAAAAAACTACGGTATACGGTTGAACGGCTAGCAAGAGTAAATAGCCTAAAATAGGTACCAGGATGTTTGTCCTGGGGAAGCGAAGACGGCCAGCGTAATGCTTGACCTCTTAGTGCCGATTGGTTTGTAAAAATACGGGTACTCTTCCCATATGCTCGATGCGCCTAAAGAAGTGAAAAAGGGATCTTAACCTGTACTTTACTTTATACAGATGAACAGTGTTTCTCTACGCGTGGGTTCCAGGGCCCCATGAAGGAGGGGAGGGGGGTTTAAACCCACTGCCCCTAACAAGCACGTCGTAGAAGTAGACCACTTAGGGGCGTTTCCTTTGAAGTCTGCTGACAAATAAGCCACATCTGTAAAAATGGATGTGGACGAAAAATTGAAGTTCTGGAACACAATTAAAGTCTAGAAGTGGACGAGCAGCCAGAACTTTCCACTGGAGCACCGGAGTGAATGGTGAACGGGAAGAGAAAAACACTTTTCTTGCATCTGCACCTCTTGGATTTTCATCCAACAAATATCTCTCTGATTCACCTGGTGTTAATCTTTGACACTACAATCCTACATTGTTGGGAGGAAATGGGTGGAATGGTGAGGGAGGGAGATTTTAAATTTAAAAAAAACGATGTTATGTGACATTGAAATTTTTCCGAAAACCACTTATTTTAACTTTAAAAAGTATATTTATAGTGGTAACTGTCACTGTGGTGTCAAAAGTCTTAGCATATTCTCAGCCACGACATTTCAGGTTTGATGTGACCAGTTTTCATCCTCATTGCAATTTCATTCCCAAACATTTCCTATATAACTGTTTGTAGCCCATTTTTATGTGGCTGGGAAAATTTATGTATGTATGTATGTATGTATGTATGTATGTATGTATGTATGTATGTATGTATGTATGTATGTATGTATGTATGTATGTATGTATGGAGGTACGTACTTACTCACACCATCAGATGAACAAACACAGATAATGATGCTGTAATTTGGTAGAGTGAGCTAGGTGATTTTCAGAAATAATAGAAAAACCACAAATAAAACAATTCAGTATTGTGTAGTTAGATCTAAGTTTACGTGTTGTTTCTTTTACTGCTATTTACCAGATAACCACATTTGTTTCTGTTGATTGTCTTGCTGTGTTTAGATTAATACGCGCCTACTGCTCTTCGCTGCATTATCCGGAATGGGTGTGGTGTCAATTATTTCGCCATACTGCAGCATATACCCTATGATGATCTTCATTCGATCGTTTTGTGGTTTCTTTGCTGGAATTATAGACACATGTGAGTGTACTCATTCTCATCACTAGTTTCCGTACTTTTATGTCTTGGGTGTAGTTTTTTTTTTTAACTTGCACGTTATGTTAATATGAAATTAGGTTCCAAAACCTAAATGCAGACCTAGTCTCAACGTTGGTAACCTTCTGCTACTTCTTCGCGCTCACCAGCTGTAAGCTCCGGTGGAAAGTTCTGTTTGTTTTCCAATTCTGGATTCTAGTCATGTTCTAGAAACTGAGTGTTGCGTGCACATGCGTTTCACAGATCAGACTAATTTACATGTAGACTGTTGGTTCCTTGCCTCTCATGCAGAAGGAAGCTCTCAATTCATCGACTTTTGCGATACGCTTTTGTGTAGGTAGTGGGTATATTCTTGTTTTCCCCCAGAAACCCACACGGGGAGTTGTCTAATCAATCGTAAAATCATATGAAAAACCCAATGTTCACTTGTAAATTTAATTATAAGTCGAATATCTCTGAAGTTTTGTTGTAACAGATGTGTGCATAACATACGAAATAGAGATCGGGTTACCTGCAGTTGAAGAATGCTAATAAGTTCATGAAACTAAAAATGGAGACCTACGCTATCCAACGGCTGCAAAACTTAACTTAGTGTGGGAGGAACAAACACGGTAGATCCCGTCCCAATATTAGATGCAATTTCTTTTTAATTTTTTTTTGGGTGGGGTGGGGGGTGGGGGTTAAAGCCGAACACCGGTAGTGATTTGGGGGGGGGGGGGGGGGTGTCCATAATCGAATATTGGCATTTTGTGTCACCTGGTGTTCATAGCTCGGTGTGATGTCCTGATGGGGTTAAACGTCAATTAGTATAATGTGGGAGCACCCATATTTCAAAATTAAAGTACATGCCAAAATAAATGACAATCTCAACCCCCCCCCCCCCCCCCCCCCCCCCACCACCCAAATATTTAAATATATATCTATATATATATATTTCTTTTTCAGCTGGAAATACCTGGCACATGAAGATATGGGGAAGTGAGGGCAAAGTCCTGTTGCAGATTATACACTTTTTCTTTGCTCTTGGTGGAGTTTTATCTCCCTTGTACACAGAGCCTTTTCTGGCAAAACGGTTCATGGACAATGGAACAGCTACAGACAATTTTACAACTGGAAATTCTTCTCAATTCTATTATTTGAATGGTCCTCAGACAACGAACGTTCGACATGCATTCCTTGTCTCTGGTATATTCATGGTTATAACTAGTATACCCTTTATTGTATCGATTATCAAGCCGCCTTCACAGATCATTAGGAACCATCTAGAACAGAACATAAATATCGGAATGACTTATAGAGAACTTCCATGCTGTTTGCATTTGTTCGTACTAACAATTATATGCATTATTTTCTTGCTGTACTGCTGTGTCGAATTGACGTTTGCATCATTTCTTATGTCTTTCTTGATCAATGAATACGATTCTATGACAAAGGCAGAAAGTGTACATATCATTACTGTATACTGGGTGTCCTTTGCAGCGTCCAGATTTCTAATGATCTTTGTATCGAAATTGTTATCAGCTATCAGATTATTGTTTTTATGTCTGTTTTTTATGATCGTGGCATATACTGGATTTATGATTAGTGCACTATTTGAGGTGATTCCAGCTATTGTTGTCTTCACGGCAATGACAGGATTTGGTATGTCTGGTGTTTTCGCTGGAGGGTTTTCCTGGGCAGAAGCTGAACTAATTAAAGTCACAGCAAGGGTATCTTCCAGCATTACCATAACTGCTTCCACTGGTAAAATTTTCATTCCTCTGATTCTGGGATTTCTAATGGAAGAAGCTAGCAACATGTGGTTTTGTTATATATTACTTGGTCAAACTGTGTTTTTGTGTCTTCTTTTTATGTTTCTCTTATTGTTTAATAGACTGTATCTGAACACTGTGTATGGTTCAATGACTTTGATGGAGCAAAATATTGTACTTAGCTGAAAAGAAATATCCTCATTAAATGATGAGATACATGAACATGTGACTAATGAAAGTGTCTGCTCTTTCAGCCCTAAGTAATGCCTGGTGTGTGTAGGCTTCTTATCACACACCTACATGGATCCCCATCATTGCAATAATGGGTATATGTTGCAACATATTGAGTTTTAAGTTAGTTGCGTATCCTTTACAGGACATTGCAGAATCAACCCCAGCATCTTTTAGCTGATGTGGTTTTTTTATGCAAGTTTACATCCAGTAGTTTGCTATTGCTTATTGGCTTCTCGATACCACTGTCAAAACCAACGCGATGCGCAAGGCCTGCAGCAGGATCATACCCGGCACTACGAAGCGGGTCGCAACACCCAAGCCACAAACCTACAAGATATACTTGCACAAAACATTTGGCTATTTCACTGTATATTTACACACTTTGAAAGTAATGTACTCATCGTTGTATAAGTGTCATCCCCCCCCCCCCCCGCCCTTTCCCCCTTTTTTCACTGAGTTACTTTATTTTATTTAAAGAGTTAACCAAAGCACATAGATTGACAAGCAGTTGTGTCTTTTACAAAATATATACTTCTGAAAAGCACAGAAGAGTATACTGGTCTACCTCGATGAGGTTTCAATATTATGACCACCGAGGCAACACGCCGCGCTAAACGTGATCCATATCAATATAAATGTATGAATTATTATTTATTCAGCTGGAACTATTTTCATGTAAAATTTGTGGCCTTGTAAACTCGTTCATGCAAACAAACTGGTGTAATTAATGACCACTGAATGTACTTATTTTCTTTCAGTACGCTCATGTATAGACATAATCACGAATAAAATCTATTGGTTTTTTTTTTCCTTTTCAGCTGGAAATGCCTGGCACATGAAGATATGGGGAAGGGAAGGCAAAGTCCTGTTGCAGATTTTACACTTTTTCTTTGCCCTTGGTGGAGTTTTATCTCCCTTGTACACAGAGCCTTTTCTGGCAAAACGTTTCATGGACAATGGAACAGCTACAGATAATTTTACAGCTGGAAATACTTCTCAATTCTATTATTTGAATGGTCCTCAGACAACGAACGTTCGACATGCATTTCTTGTCTCTGGTATATTCATGGTTATAACTAGTATACCCTTTATTGTACTGTTTATCAAGTCACCTTTACAGAACATTAAAAACCATCTAGAACAGAGCAGAAAGATTCGAATGACTCATAGAGAACTTCCATGCTGTTTGCATTTATTCATACAAACAATTCTGTGTATTATTTACTTGTTGTATGGTTGTATTGGCTTGGCATTTGCGTCATTCCTTATGTCTTTCTTGATCAACGAATACGATTCTATGACAAAGGCAGAAAGTGTATATATTACTACTGTATTCTGGGTGTCCTTTGCAACGTCCAGATTTCTAATGATCTTTGTATCGAAATTGATATCGAATGACAGATTATTGTTCTTGTGTCTGTTTTTGATGGTCACCGCATTTACTGGATTTACGCTCAGTGCAATTTTTGAGGTGATTCCAGCTATTGTTGTCTTCACGGCAATGACAGGGCTGGGTATGTCTGGTATTTTCGCTGGAGGTGTTTCCTGGTCAGAAACCGAGCTACTCAAAGTCACAGTCCGGGTGTCTTCAAGCATTACTATTGCTATGTCTACTGGCAAAATTTTCATTCCTCTGATTCTGGGATTTCTAATGGAAGAAGCTAGCAACATGTGGTTTTGTTATTTATTACTTGGTCAAACCGTGTTGATGTGTCTTCTTTTTACGTTTCTCTTGTTATTTAATAGACTGTATATCAACATGGTGTACGGTCCGATGACTTTGGTGGAGCGAAATATTCCAGTCAATGGAAAGGAAATGACATTAAATGGTGATGAACATGAATGTGAGGCAATTGAAAGTGTCAGTTAACTGAAGCACAGACACATAGATATATGATATTAAAACGAACTAAAACGTTTGCTTGTAGACTACTGGAAGAACACAACAGACCCCATTGTAACTACGCTATATGGCTTTGTCGGCGTCTGTGGCTTAGGCGTTGCGAACGCGCTTCATAATACCGGATTTGATCCCAGCTGAGTATGATTTGGTAGCAGAACGTCTTGTTTTGGTTTTGACAGTGACACTGAGAGCTGACCGTTGAGAAAGCATTGGCAAACTATTAAACGTAATCTTTAGTTAGAAAAGCCACAATAGCCCAAAATTGCTGTGGTTAGTGAACCCCTTGTTCATGATCCGCAACTAACTTTTTACGTAGCTCTGCGGCTGAAGCTGTTTTGGGGATGTGTAGTTATTTGATTCTAACCCTAGAGATGTTATTCTCCTACAATCTGTAATCCCAGTAGGAAATGGGGGGGGGGGGGGGATATCACAGTCTTGTGGGAAATAGTAAAGAAAAGAGGTCCATTTTCCACGCCTTTAGCCATCTTGGAATTATGAGGCTAGAAATATATTTTATAGACCAAACGGCACTTGGTGGGTGATGTGGTCAGCGCCACGCCGGTCGCCTTTATTTCACAGGACTGCTCCTGTACCCAATTAAGTCTAGGTCGACCTGATAGCCAAGATTACTTTTTTGAAAAAGTCAGGCTCCTTCAGGACACAAACCCACGAGCTTCCGATCTAGCCGCCAACGCCACGACGACTCCTATCTTGTGGAATATATATGTCATAATTTTTTTTTTAAACTGTTGTTTATAGGTTTTATATGGCTTTTTATTCGTTTTTTATGGCTCTGGACAACTAAAAGAGATGATACATTATTAAAGATTTTTTAAAACAGTCACACGACGAATTTTTTGACCCATCAAATATGCAAACAGTGGGGAATGGAGAGTGAAAAGCAATAACGAAATTTATAAACTGTTTAAATCACCATTGATCACTGGTATCCGAGAGCTAATAGACTAAATTCACTGACGTGAATGCCTGCTTCTTGTTAGGTCACCTAAATATGTGTATGTTCATGCATATGCATTCACACAAACATATTTGCCATGGGTATTCGCAATCTGTCTAAGGGTTGGGGGGGGGGGGGGGGGGTAATTTAGTGATTAGAGGAAAAGACCCACTGGTCTCAACATAACACAACTAGGGGGGTTTGCTGAAATTCGATGTGTTGGACTAAAAGGTGCAGACATCGCAGCCCAGTGGTAAACCACAACAATCGACCCAACCCCCTTTTAAAGGTGAACACATAACATTTCCAAACACTGTTCTAAAACCATACGTACCATACACACCCAGAAACATAACTCAAATACTCTTTTATGTCATAATATACGCATTTTAATTTTAATTTATTCTTCTTGTGTAAAAATTTTGAAGCTGAATGAAGTATACTCAAAAGTTCAGGTAGTAACTAATCAAATAACCAAGTCTGGCATGTAGAGTGATGCCCAAGTACTAATTTGCTTACACATATCCTTTAGGCGGATAATTGGCTATAAAAAATGTGGGTCAAATTGAATTCTAACGAGCATGTAAATCAAAACTTAAATAAATACAAGATTCTGATGTACATGAAATGAAAGCCTATCCAACATTCAACCAACAGCATTCAAGGTTTTCTAATACCGGTACAATAATTCTTTTACAACTACTCCAAAACCGAAAGTAATGTACACATTCTAAATTTTTCTTTCAAGAGATTCACTTTTTGGTGGCCTGCTCCAAGTAAGCTATAAGGTCTACTCTTTCTTGCTCATTCCTTAAGCCAGCAAAAACCATCTTGGTGCCAGGGATGTACTTCTTGGGGTTGTCCAAATATTCAAAGAGGGTCTGTCGGGTCCATGTAATACCTGCAAATAAAACAAAATAAATGCTTCAGGTAATTTGTATACAAACTCTTCTTCTGCTATTGACCTTCCAATGGAGTCTTAGCCCTCAAGTCGAGCCAGGTTGACATATTTTTGTTTTCACATACAGCTCACCCCCATGTTTTCGTGTTTCATCTTCACTTAGCTGAATATTATTTGTTAGTTCTTGAGATTTGTCCTTGGTTAGATCTATAAAAACACTTTTGATTGAACTATTCTACATTCAACTTCTTATATATATCTCCCATTTGATGCTACCATGGTACAGAATATTTAAGTACTTCTGTGTTCAACATCAGCCATACTAAACATTAGCTACTGTATGGAGTACAAACCAGGTGGTGTGTTTCACCGCTGGTTCCAAACAGCTTCACTTGTAATGTGGCTACGTTGGGCTAGATCCAGAATTGTTGCTTGGAGTTGTTAGGATAATCATGCAGTTTATGCTTAGGAGTATATCTGTCTGTTGGCAGCAGATTCATGTACGCCCTTCCTGTATTTGTTGCTTTAGTACTTAAACATAACAAGCTGCTTTTGTCTTGTCGGAAGCTCAAAAGCTGATAACTGTTGCTTAAGTAATTAAACATACAGAGTTGCTTTATATGGAAGATACAGAGGTGTTTTTTAATTTAAGAATGAGAACATCATGGGAAGATAAACAGTGTAATGATGTTTAGGAAGAGAAATTACCTACATCAGATGACATTCTTTGGGCACATATGAGAAGGGTACAACATGAGTAGTTTTGACAGCAGGAAAGTTAGAACAGAAAAGATGTCGAGAAAGGTCAATAGAGATAAGATTAATGTGGCAGAACACATGTATCAAAATGGACAGTTCCCTGTGTGGGTTCCGGGACCCTGTTATAGGGAAAACAAGAAGAGACCTACTGCCTACCCAAAAGTATGTCGTAAGAGTCGACTAACTGGGACCACCCTTCAAAGTCAGAGTGAATCTGCCTGAGAGTCAAGGAAAGCAGTCTGCATACAAATGAGTCAGATCTGTAAAACGGATGCACATGCAACACTCAGGTTCTGGAACAGGACTGCAGTTCAGAAGTGGATGAACAACCAGAACTTTCTGCCAGAGTTTACAGCTGGGGAATGCAAAGAAGAAGACAATGGACAGTACAGCTGTCTACAGAAAACATCACTCATGCCACATGGTATGGACTATATATGATTCTGCACATACAAAAACTACAACAACAAATCAAAAAATTATTATTCTACTCTAAAAATCAAACTAGAGGGGGGAAAAGACAAATATGTGACGTGGTTTGAATGGGAGGATAACCAATGAACAAGAGAAAAAGAGGACCTTACTGTCCTTTTTGACACTGAATACCCATTACAGCCAACTTTTACCGTTTATGGTGAAGATGGTCACTGATTTAAGATGGTTACAGGTGCAATGTAACAATTTACTTAGAAAGTACGTTGAAGGTAGAATTATAGGTCACTTGCTTGAGCCAGCCATAATGCAGCATAAATAGTAAAAGACCTTGGGCTTAAAATATGCGTGTTGGAAGACAACCAAAATAATCATCTTGTTCTTAGCTTTCACAAAGTTCTGTGGCTCAGGTGTTGCGAATGTGCTTTGTAATGCCAGGGTGCTGATTTCAATCCCAGAGTGGTACAGAGAGTTGACCATTTACAAAAAGCCATGGCAAACTAATGAACATAAAAACATTCTAGGGTTGGTTCTGCAACGTCCTGTAAAGGGTATGCAACTAACTTTTTTCACTAAATGTCAACTCCAGTGGAAAGTCCTAGTTGTCTGTCCACTTTGGTCGTGTAAGTTCTTCTTCACGTTCACCAGCTGTAAACTCCGGATGAAATTTCCACCTCGGGGCTTTAGTCTTGTTTCAGAACCTGAATGTTGCACGCATCTTGCCCTGCTCGAGCCCCTGTCTTTGTTCACCACAACACGCATTTTAGCACCTTTCAATATTCATAATGAACATTTCAGCTTCTCAAAATGTTAAAAAGAAAAGATACAAACCTTTGTTCTTATTTGCTTCAGTATAAGCAAACCCTGCTGCTTGCCCAGTCTTGCGACCAAACAGGCCACTGAGGTTGGGTCCAGTCTTGTGTTTGCCTCCAGCCTCCACAGAATGGCACTGCTGGCATCTGGTCACAAAGACCTTTTTGCCCTTTTCAGGATCACCACCATTGATATCGACTGGTTTCTGAAAGAATGAATGTAATCATTTACTACTTTTCAACACTGGAAGAGAGGTTTACAGACATATGGCTGGCCATGATCCTAATGGCAGCATTAACCATCTAACAAGAAGGGACCAGGCCACCATCTTCAGACTCCACTCAGTGAACATCTAAACAGAATACAGCCACAACACTCCTCAGAGTGCCAGCTATGTAACTACCCCTTTGAAACTGTTAAATACCATCTCTTTGAGTGCCCAAAACACGAGCAAGACTAGAAGAATGCTACCCCCACCGAGACCAGACAAGTGGAACACCTTGTACGGAGGAAAAGAACAGCTTGTGAAAATATGCAAATTCCACTACTGGCATTTTGGGCCAGAGGGTGAAAGCTCATGTGCCACTGGATCAATAACAACAAACTACTGTTATGTGTGATCATCATTTTACTAAATCTACTTTAAAGCATTTATAGCCCAAAATTTCAACACGTTTCTGCTGACTTATGATCTACAGTTATATTGTGCCATCATAATTACAAGCTCATGTAACCCGATAGCACCTGGTACAAGGCATAGAAAGAGCCACCACTGAAAGAATTAACAGCAACAACATTTGATTCTGTGGCTGTAGACCTATCTGATGAGGATTGATGCTCTACCTGGCACACAACATTCTAAAGAAAACAAGATGCTAGAGGCAACATTTCAACGTCTACTGCTATTAAAAGAATATTCACTACAATTTCTTGGAGCTGATGCAGTAGCTGAAATACAACATTCAAGAGAAAACAAATGAAGGAATTGCTAAGATCCTAACCTATATGCTATGGGTCTTGCAGACTCTGCCACATAAGGTTGTGATGCACTACAGCAAATTCAACAGCATTTCCTCAGATTTGCCATTTAGATACAAGAGGAAGTCAATAAGTAAGTCACAAATGGTTATGGGATGGCAGGACAGTGTAGCTGGTGGTTTCTAAAGGTGTCATTAGTTAACAACATAAAAATTTGTCTCTGTTCAAAATAGGTGCAATAAACTCTTTGCAGATGATCAAGCCCTCATGGCAACCAGAAAACCAAAACTTTAGTAAAAGATCAAACTATCTAGGCAGCATATTCTTCTTCTTCTTCGCATTCACTAGCTGTAAACTGGTTGAAAGTTCAGCTATCCTCCGAATAACAGTCAAATTATCAAGGCCGAAAATATACCCTAACAGGGCCTTAGTCACATGTTAAATGCGGACTTCTGGCGACTTGAATTGCGTCCTTCTGGCGACTACCGCCATCGCCAAGAGTATCACACGTGAAGCGGGGCCAAACTAGATGGCTGGGACTTACGAGCAGCAGCTACCGCATCTCCTGCAGCTTCATTTTTTTTGCTCACGAGTCCCAGCCATCTAGTGTAGTACCGCTCCATGCTACGTGGAGCGGCATGGGAGATACACTCGGCGGTGGCAGTAGTTGCCAGAAGTCCGTAATTCACATGTGACTGAGGCCGTGTTAGGGTATATTTTAGGCCTCAATAATTTGGGACTATTATTCGGAGGATAGCCGAAAGTTTTGTTTGTTCATCCACTTCTGGACTGCAGTCATGTTTAAGATCCTAATTTTTGCCTGTGTATCCCTTTTACAGATCTGACTCCTTTGTATGAAGATTGCTGGTTCCTCGCCTCTCAGGCAGATGCACTCTATGAAGGAAGCTACCAATTAGTCGACACTTACGACATGCTTTTGGGTAGTCAGTAAGTCTATTCTTGCTTTCCTTGTATTAGGGCCCTGGAACCCACACGGGGAGGCAGCATTTTATTATCCAATGTAAAAATGGAAGTGGAGATAGGACACATTATATAAAACAAATAAAATCATTGGTTAGGCAACACCAATACTGCAGAACAAACATTAACAAATGACACAAAGGAGTATTTTTAAATACCTGCACTGTTACCAGTGCCAAAAATAGGCATGACAAAAATTGAAGCAGAAATGAGTTATTAACAGTGGGAAGAAGCCTGGGCAGAGCAGATATCGTCAGCACTGTACTGAAAGGGCTAGTGGCCAATGAGGAATCCCTGACACTAACACGACTGTGTGACATTTTAGTAAAGCACGTTGAAGCACATCCATACCGTCTTCGAGGCCGAGATAGGAGACAATATAACCAGCTTCTCATGGGAACAATTAGTATAAGTACTTTGGAGTGGCTGCTGCATCTGAAGACTGAGCACGCATGGGAATTACCAATATGCAGTGATGTTGATTGTGAAAACATAACATAACATTGTGATCACAGAAACTACAACAAGAGACAACACAACAGATCACATTCACATGATTTGGATCATGGTTTGAGTTTGACAGGTGTCAAGACTACCAGCAGTACTAGTACACCACAGCCTTGTCAGAGACAACGGAAGCAGACCTAGAAGCTGACCATGTGAGCAATGGGTAGGTAGATGCAATATCTAAGGCATCTACACAAACCAAGGCTTACACTCATCTCTTTAAAACCTGGTGCAGAAAGACAACAGGACTAGACAAGATATACATAAATTCACACCCTATGAATGACATTGCCACACCTTTAAAGGTGATTTTAGAATGCAATAATGAATAGAATATATTCAGATTGAACTGAAGGGCATTCCATTTGAGTAAGAAATTCTTAGTTCAGTGGTATGCCCTTTCATGACAAACACTATAAGAAATTTTTTTAAATTCTAGTCTTTGCATGTTTAGTTAGTGTACATGTTATGATGGGCATTATATATATATATATATATATATATATATATATATATATATATATATATATATATATATATATATATATATATATATATATATATATAATAAATAATAATATACAGATCTGTCTGAAGAACAGCTCTTTAAACAGGCAGAATCTTGATTAGATAAAAAAAAAAAACAAAGGGATACGGTGATACAGAAGAACTACGTGACTAACAGTGTGTGCCCTTGGCAATGGCAACTGTGTCATTGTTATGTAACTATTATAATATCCTGGATCCTTCAGACAATAAACTGATATTTCAACATAACACGTCTGAAAGGGCACAGTACAACATGGTTTTTCAGTTAGCCTGATTTAAACTGAGGGACACCATAAACGACACCTCTCACACATCCGGCTATCATCGATTACTCGGACATGAGGATACACAACTACTTCCCTATACCCTACCGTCGTATCTATGTAAAGACTAAAGACAACAAATAAATTAATTAATAAGTGAACATATTACAACTTTTAATACTATTTTTGTATATATAATAGGTAAATTGTGTAGTTATTTTTTGAAGACGCAGGTACTTGATGATAAATCAATAGTTTAATTAAAATGAATAAATCAATGGGGCAAATAAGTGAAATTTGGAGTCTCTAACTGACTGAATGTTGCAATCGAAACACTAGCGCACAACGACCTTCAGATATTAATATTAATTTAAAACCGATAAATTCTTTGACACAAAAACGATATTACAATAAATATATACAATGTAGTAGAACTTTTTCACTGGAACTTACCTTCTCCTTTTTTTCAGGCATTCTGGCGAGTGAATATTGAAACCTGGAACCGGACAAACGACGAGAACGTGGTGAGTGAAACAAGTGGAGGTCACCCCGAGTAGCCGACGGCGACGATGAAATTTTACGAGACTAACCTTTAGGGGTCAGACATTTGGTGGAGAGTCCATTCACTAGGAAGAGGGTTTCAAAATTTAATTGCTATTTTCTGCACATTTATTTTGAATCATCAAAACTACTTGCGTCTGAATAGCAATATATATTATACAATTTTACTTCTTTTAAATTATTATTTGCCTTACTTTTTTATTTATTTCGTTGAAGTTAAATACAATTTAAACATAGCTACCCAGACTTATAATGGGACCGTTCCATTAAAGAATCTCATTCTCATTATATTGGAAAATAATTTTAATAAATACTGTGTATATTTTCTTCATTGTCGCTGAATACCCGAGTTATTTGCAAATTTACGAAGTATAATTTGTTAACACGTAAAAATATTTTCTTTTAATTGAATAGTTTAAAATATAGTTGACCTATGTCATAACTGTCACTGCAAGGTCCCTACGCAATGTCAAATAGCTGCCACCTTAGTGTGAACGATCAAGTTGATCGATTTTTGCAATTCTAGATTCTTTGTTAGATGTTCGTTTTTAACTACTTTCTTCTTACTTTACGTGTTGGTTAGCCAGTACATGTTAATTTGTGTCTTCTTATTCTTGTGTGTTTATTTCGTGATCCTTTTGTATTCCTTTAATGACCGACATTTTACTGAGATGTCGCAAAGATATTAAGTGATCGGAACCACGGCCGCCCAGAGCTATGGGCGGTCGTGTTCAGAAGCTCTCGAAACATTATCTAGGGGTCAGCAACCTACATTGCGCGACTGATTGTGACACTCTGAACGCTTTGAAATATAATATACTGTCTGAGTTTGAAAATGTCATTTTTTTTTTCTCTCAGTTAAATGCACACACGGATTTAATTATTTAAGACATGGTTTGTCATCAAGAAAAAGTTACAGTAAAGCATTATGAACTTTAAAGCTTTTAAGTTACGAATGAAATGGCATGGGAAAATGTAACGTTGATTAATTAACTGAAGATATAGATCATATCAAATACTGTTTTTAATTGCCTGACAGATGTCATAAAGAAAAACTGGAAAAAAAAAAATTCGGGGACACAATGTGTTGGAAGACTTCACACAAAAAAAAAAAAAAAAATTGGTTGAAAAGACACTTGTCAAAATGTAGCAAAATAAAAACAACCTGTATACCACGATAATGGATGGAGAGTAATAAACTGATCAGTACCCACAATGCACTACCAGATTCCAGAGAAAAGACCACAACCTCCTGAACCTTTTTAATAACCGGGGAGGCTATGGACAAGATATACAAGGCCAATATTGATAATCATTTGACTAAAAACACGCATTTAAATGCATCAAGATACACTAGCTCAGGGATGTTCAACTAAATCTACTCAGGGGCCAACATTTTGAAAATATAGATTGTTCCGTCCAAGTCCTCTGTTATTAAGGCCTGTCGGAAGTTGTCTTCCTAGCGGAACTTGGGTCGCCCTGAAGGTTTGGTTCCCTTGTTCTTTGTCCGCCATGGCGGCCGATTTTCTGCCATTCTGCATATATGTCCACTTGCTTCTACTGCAGCTGCTGTGAGGACAGCATCAAAGGGTTTTAGTGTCCTATGATGGTTCTTCTTCAGTTCCTATTGCTTTCACTATTAGCTCCTGGAATCTAGCCTTAATTTTCGGATGTCTTGGCTTGTATGCGTTAATCCTCATCCCTTCTCGGTTGCTTGGTTTCTTGCATGGTTGTCGGTACTGTCTTGAAGGAGCAGTTATTTCGGATGTTCTCGTTACTGTGACCAGATAGGGGTCCGTTCCAATCTCTGGTCCTCTCATGACTTTGGCATCTCTCACAGACTTGGATAAAATGTTCCTTACTATGACATCGTTAAAGATGGATTGTTCATTCTTCGAAGTTTCACATCTTGTGAATGCATGTCTACGTTTGTGGAGAAATTAGAATCTGAGAAGTCTTTTGCCATTATCGTTCAGAACATCTTTACGATATCTCCCGATCACTCTACTCCATCTAGAATGATCATTTCCTATTCTGGCATTTAGATATCCGAGAAGGATAATTCCATCGTGACAATCATCTAAGGTATTTTAGGACAGATCAAAGCATTTATACACAATGACAATATTTGACATTTTGTCTTCTTTTTTTCAGATCTAGCACCATAGTTCGCTCCGAGATGAATTTCTATCCCTTGACCTTACTAACTTGATTCCTGACCACAGACAGCAAACACCACTTTGACCATCTCCGTCGAAGGGACAGCACTGTAGAGCAGCATGCTTCCAATATGATCTGTGATTCCCTCCCTCTTTTTCTTGATTTTGTTCAGAGCCAAGATAACTAATTGTGCTTTTCTCATCTCCAGTATTGCCCCGTTTTCCTTCCAATGAATGCCCGTATGTTACATGTTCCGTAAATCGTAGTCCGTAAGCTATGGCAGTTCGTCGCCGTTAAGATCCGACGAGTTTTCTCTCTGTGTGGTAAATTGTAATCGTAGTTCAAGGCAAACAGGTAATTGGTCTGTTCTGCCTTTCCATGGTGGAGGGGCTGCCTCCTTGCAGTCTTGATGCAGGCCGTCTGTCTGATTCACGGTTACCCACTACTTCTGGAGACGCACGAAGCACTCAGGTTCAGCCAGACCCTCTTCCTTTTACAGCGGGGCTTAGGACCTAAATGTCTTTTCTACCAACGTTAGTTCTGTCACTGCCTCGGCCTCATTTCTATTATCTTGGCATACATATTACCATCATAATTTGAAGGAGTATTTTTTGGGAGAGAACTGAACAAGTTCCAGCGGATCAAGAGGCGAAGAAAAGACGCCTGGCGTTGGCTAGGACACACGTTGAGAAACGTGAGAACAATATAACTAGAACCTCTTTCCATTGGAACCTACAGGGGCATAAAAGTAAAGACATACTTAGAGAAGGGAGCTAGACAGTGAAGTTAAACAGATGGAAAGGACATGGGTGGGCTGCATACAATAGCGAAGGATAGTGTGACTTAGCGCGAGTTGGTTCAATACCTATGCTCCAGTGGGGGGAGAGGGGGGGGGGTAAAAAGCAGAAGAAGAGGAAGAAAAAGAAGAAGAAGCTTAAGAAAGGAGACAAGCACACGTGTGAAAATTATAGTGTAATATCTTTATTATGTTTAAACTATTAGCGGGACTGCTAAACAAACTAAACCCATACGCGAATATATATTATTTAACACCCCTATCATAATCATTAGGGTTGAACAGGATATTATTTGTATGAAAAAGACAAAGTAGTTAGTTAGTCGTTAGTCCAGGTCCCAACGTCATTGCAGACCGGTTGCTACAAAACTGCTCTTTTCCTGTGCCAATGGAAACCTCACAAAAGTGTCCTTCTTCATTTACTTTGCATGTGCGAGCTTCAAGATGTTGCTGGGCCTGACACATTTTTCATTAGTTTTCAAATGGGATCGTAGCGCGATTTCCACTGGCACAGAAACGGAGCAGTTGTAGGGGGAGCCGTCGACATTGATGTTGGAGCTTCACCTGACGACCAGCCAAATAATGTGTCAATGTTCCATCTTCTTCTTAAAGTCAACGCCGTGTGACGTTGGTAATCATGTTTCTGTCTTGTGTACTTTCAGTCAACTCTGACACAGATGATCCTCCATGCCGTGTTGTCAAACTGTCCAGCATCTCTTATCTCGGTCTCCCTCTGCCCCCCTCCCCTCCAACTTTCTTACTGCCACTACGTACTCCAGTTTTCTCCGTCTCGTCACATGAACGAAGAATGTAGATTGTCTTCTTTTGATGTGGGCAATCAGTTTTGTTCGTGAATTAGTTTCTTTCAAGACATCTTCATGACTTTTTTAAAATTATCTGTTCAGGGTATTATCATTCGTCGATAAAACTACATCCCCGCAGTTTCTAAATAATTTGTTTCACTAATCTACCAACTGTCCATGATTCACTTCCGTATATCAAGATAGGATTTATATCGATTTTAATAATTCTCTTTCTCATCTAAACTGACAAAGAAAGATTGTACAAAATATTCTTCATTTTGTAAAATGCTACATTACATTTGCTTGAGTTATTCTACATATAACCCAAGTACTTCAACATATCATCTTGCTTGAGATATTCTACATATAACCCAAGTACTTCAACATATCATCTTGCTTGAGATATTCTACATATAACCCAAGTACTTCAACATATCATCTTGCTTGAGGTTTTGTCCCATTTACTTTAATGCTGCATTTGAGGATCAGTTTTCTGTATAATTACCACATTACCATTACTTCGGGTTTTCAGCTGTCCCAGCTAAGACCATTGTTTTCACTTTTTGTTACAATTATGTGCATCAATGTTCCTACCAATGTGGCAATGGACATTAAGTATTTTTGTTTTGTTTTGCTTCTGGGAACATTCTTCCTATTCTTCTTCTTCTATCGTTCGCTTAAAATAGATTTTCTATATCTGCAATGCTGTCTCTAGTATGAACTTCACTGTCTTTTGTAAATCACTTAGTGACCCGTAAAGTTTGACTTGCACCGATGTTTCTCTTGGCCACAAGTTTTGCCTTGACATGTTGTGTTTGGGACAGTCTTGGAGGACTGTTTATTTATTGAATGTTGCATATTATATGTCACACTGTTCAGTAGTTATAAAACAGGACTGCAAATAATAATAATAATCATTTTCACATAAACCATACCCTGTTCAGCCCTAATAGTTCTAATTGGGTTACATAATAAAACTAGTATTTTCACTGTATTGAGTCATTTATACTGTTATTATTTCAGGGGCGCCGACATACAGAAAACATTGGAAGGGGAGGATGCTGAATTTCTACATACATGGGAAAGGGGGGGGGAGGAGGGGGTGTGATGATGGGGAGCAGGGTGGGCTAAAGAGGCCTAAGAATTTTTATGAT